AAACGCATTGTTAACGGAACAAGGCCGGAACATGGCCAGAACACTGAGAACACAAGGATTTATGTTCAGTCCTGGAGAGCATTTCATCTCACAATTCAACAGAACTGTGCTCCAGTGCTGAACCTCATGTGTAAAAACCTTTTTCCGTTTCCATAGACCACCCCGGTTCAGCTGCTGAGGATGATGATGGTGGCGCTGGTGGTAACACACAAAACAGTAAAACATTTGAGAGAAAACAAATCGGAAAATACAATTGATATAGTAAAGCACAGAAAGAAATCATACTTACACTGCACCTGTAGCTTGGAGGGGGTAATGCTCAGCATTGCACTCTCCAACTCAACATCTTCATCCATCTCTGTGTGTGTTGGAGAAAGACAAGAAGGTTGTAAAAAAGAAAGAAAGAAAGAAAAAGAAAGTATTACCCAGAATGATTTCTATAAATATAGCTCTGTGTTAACTGAAGCATAATGTATGAGTAAAATCATAAGTTATGTTATTTGTTTATATCAGTTGATACAATGGCAATATTTCCTGCTAAAGAGCAAATGAGAAATGGGCTGAGTTATGGCACTTGATGTGGGCACAGGCCGACAGGTTGACTGCTGCTGCTTCCGCAGGTATTGCTGCAATTTGTGCATCCGTGTCCCTGGGACACAGGTCGCCCCCAATACAAAGGATGCATATCCATCAGCCCTGCTTTTCCAAATCTCCTGCCATGTGCTCTTGGCACGAGCCCCGAAACCAACTAACTGGTCATCCTCTGATGAGGCTGCTGGTGCAGCTGGTGTTGTGGACACATAGCTAAGAAGAGACTCAATTTCTTCAAAGCTGTGAGCATAGATGGCAAACGACACCAGGCTGTTTGCTGAGTCCCTCTGCCCTAAACTCTCCAGCAGCCTCTTCCTGCTGCAGGGTCTTCATCAGATATATGGTGTACCCCATGTCATTTTCAAGGAGCCACCGAAAGGACTTGCCCTTGTATTTTCCAAATTGGAGGATGTATTCGCCCAAAACCTCTCTCTTGTCTGAGGCATCCCCTCCTCTCTGACAGACAACAGTCAGAGCATTTTGTCTGATTTTGCCTTCATGGGCGCTGACTTGTCCTGCAGTGATGGGTTGCTTTTAATCAGGCTTGCCTCATCAGTTGGCTCCTGAAGGAGATAACCTAGAGGTCCCTTACGGAGAACAACCTTCACTTTTCCAGGGAAAAACATGACTCCTTTGTGCATGTTGACCTATAGGACAGGAAAAGCAATATTTCTATCACACAAACATATTCACATATATACACACACAGAAAATACAAAAATAATCATAAAGCTACTATAGTAAAACTGTAGTAATCCTGCTGTTATGGGCAGATTGATTTTCATTCATAATTTCATGAATGTACTGCAAATACATTATGAATGATTTTCATTCATAATTTCATGAATGTACTGCAAATACAATGGTCAATACATTAACAACAATGGCAAATTTATGGTTGTGATTCTACTACTAAATACTATGGTTACTATAGTAAAAGCATGGTTATAAAACATTCTCACAGGACAACAAATCATTTTAATTTTTAAACTGTGGAACATATCAACGTTAACTCATTACAAAAAAAGGGTTAACCGGTTCATAATTTAGCTTGCAATTAACGGATGACGTGTTAAAAATGGCAAACAACCTTTGGAAAAACTCCCTCAATTTCGTGTTTAGTGCTTAGAAAATAAATCTGAATTCAGTACTAACTTACAGTGACAAAACTTAACCGATGTTACTATCCAAGAGTTAATAAAAACCTTATACAACCTAAAAACGGAATGAGTATAGCTGCCAAGACAGCAACCGCGAGAAAACACAAATGCGTAAAAAAAACATAATATGTTAAGAACATAAATACAGAAACGTAAATTACAACTATGTTCATTCATAATTTTGCACGCACGTCACCATATGATGAATTCTAGTAAATAAAACATGGCAAGGTAACGTTAAGGAACAAAGCTAACGTTTTCACACAACTAGTGTGATTTCAGCATAAACAAAACGTTAACTGATGTCACATAATGTAACTTAACGTTACTTTTGATAGATGCGCTGATAATTCGTTGAATTAAACAAACGAGGTAGATCGCCGCCGTGTGTGTTTCACTCTCTGAGTCGGGATACCAACCATTAAGAATGAATGGGAAACGGTTTAGGGCCGTTTAGCTAAAGAATCCCCGGCCGCCGGCCAATGCAAGAGCAGACTCCTTTTAAGTAAGGTGTGTGTGGTTCTTATTTAAGGGAGCTCCAGCTGCATTTCCAACCTTGCGAATCTCATTGAGGCAGTCAAGCATATTCGATATATAACATATACATATCTAAACTTAGCCAAGAAAAAGTGTGTTTTTCAGGATGCTGCTGTTACGTCCCAAAGACGTATAGTTCTGTCAGGACTTTAGGATACTGTGTGTTTCCTTCTGTTGTTATGTGCGTGTCTCCTGCTCTCCTCTGGCTCCTCCCACGCTCCACTCTGGCAGGTGGCCTGATTGCTCCCCCAGCTGCACCTGCTTACCAACC